TGAGTGGTGGAAGTTCTTTATATACTCTGGATCTTAATCCCTTATCAGATATATGATTTGCAAATATGGTCTCATATTCTGTATGTTTAAGGTAGACTCTATTTTTAATCTCTACTCAATAATTGAGGTAACTGTAGCACAGAGAGGGTAAGTAATTGGCCCAAGGCCACACAGCTATAAAGTTACTGATATAATGAAGCCCAAAGGGCTGTGGAAAACATGACAGAAAGAGAGGCTAATACCATCTACTTCCCCTAGGAGGCGATGATGGCTTAGGTCTGGAGAAGCACAGGGTAAATGCTTGTTGAATGCTTGAAGGAAGGAGAGGAGAGGGGTTTTTCCCAGCAGAGTCAGGTGCTTGTCAGATCAACCCCTGGAGGCTCTGGTATCTGGTCTGGCTGCAGACGCATCTGTACTGGGAAGCTCTGGGTGAAGCGCTTCACCTCCTGCCCTCAGCTTCCGCATCTGTAGACTGGGTGGGTTCTGTGCCCCGCCTTCCTGACAGGCATGTTTTGAGGCTCCTAATAGATTATATGGATATGAAGGGCTTTGTAGCAAGAGAAATAGACGACAAATCTTCAGTGCTGGAAGACAATCTGAGTGGCATTTTGTTTGGGGGGTGGGGGTCCTTGCTCCTCCTGAAATCCTGGAGGTTTTGGCATCTCCTCTTCTCCCCTTGGGCACCAAGAACTTCTGGCTTCTCCAAAGAACCCCTCCCCCACCACACCCCACCCCACAGAGTGGGTTCCTCTTCAGCCCTGGCTCCTGGGGTCACAGGCACAAAGTTGTCCCACAGACGGTAGAAGGGTCCCTGCTGTGCTTATGCAGAGGCTCAGTGCCTCCTACACACAGAGGGACCCCAAGCCAGCCTCCACGTCCAGGCACAGTGCACCCCCCCCACCCCCTCAGCTTTGCAGAGCAGCAGAGATGGGGAGCGGGGGACGGCAGCAGGAGAGAAACTGATTGGCCCTTAGCAGCACAAGTCCCTGCAGAGTCCAACCACCCATAAAACAGCAACGTTAATGGAAGCACCGCACCATCATTGCTAAAACCTGGCCGCAGGACGCGTGTGTTAACCTGTTAAGGGGGTCCTTGGACCCTTTTGAGAACCTGATGAAAGCCACAGAGGCATGTGCTTATGAGCGCACTCACAATGATGCATTCAACTTGAACTCCATTTTTGAGACGCACAAATAGGCCACGGTGCACGAGCTGAGCAACAGTGGGGACTGTCCCCAAGCCAGGGGACGGCAGTCCGCGGAGGAGGCTTCACCATGGCTTCTTCCTGGTTTCTCCTGCTGGACACTACTTCCTGGCAAACGCCTTCCCCACCCTTTCCCCCCCCCATCGGAAATCTTCATTGTGCAGTGACTGTCCCGCTCACCTGGTTAGGAAACCAGAGGCTGTGGCAACCCCGGAAGGGAGCAGCTGCCTCAGAAAAGCCTGAGGCCCTGGGCAGCTGGCCAAGCCCAGCCGCTATAAAAGGGAGCTGCCACCCAGCCTGTACATCCTCTATCTACTCTGTCAACTCTGTTTCAGTGAGACCTGGTAAGTGGGACTGCCCTGGTCTGCCCCACACTTTGAGCTTCTCCCGAGGAGGGCCAGGTGTGGGGTGGAGCAGCCTTCTCTGAGAGAGTGGAGAAGGGAGCACAGGCGTCTGGACCAAAAGCCAGCACTCCTGGGGGAGGAGAGCTGGATGGAAGCAAAGAAGGAACCAGTCCTCTAGCCCTTCTGAGTGAGGGCTCATTTGTTGCCCAAGCTGGGCCTTTCTTGGGCAGAGGGTGAGGGCATGGGAGAGCTGGCAGGCACTGTGTGTGTGTGTGTGTGTGTGTGTGTGTGTGTGTGTGTGTGTGTACCCTACCCTCTCCCTAGCTGGTATCCATGTCATCCCACTGCTCCCCATCATAGCTATAGCCAGTGGATGGGTTTAGTTATTCGGATGGTGCAGGCCAGGACAAAGCCATTACTTGGGGTCTGAAACTCTGAGGATGCCCTAGTCTTCAGTCTGCTGTGGGCAGAGCCACCGTCCCCACCAAGGGCTTCCTCATGTGCTCCGCCTTCCAGGTGGGACCAAGTCTTGGGCATCATGCTGACCGAACTGGAGAGCGCCATCAACAACTTCATTGAAATCTTCCACAAGTACTCCCTGGAGAAAGGGAACTACCACGCCCTCTATAGGGATGACTTGAAGAAATTGTTGCTGGCGGAGTGTCCCCAGTACTTGAAGGTGAGGAGGGGCTGGGTGTGGCGGGGTTCTCTGCCTGGCTCTGATGATGCTGGGGGCCACTGGTCCCCTATGCTGCCCTAGGGGGATGGCCATGCCTCAGCTCTCACTGAGATCTTTACACTCTACTTCTTTCCTCAATCTTGACAGAAAAAGGATGTAGACACCTGGTTCAGAGAGTTGGATGTCAATCAAGATAACGCAGTCAACTTCGAGGAGTTCCTGGTACTGGTGGTAAAACTGGGCATCGCCTCCCATGAAGACAGCCACAAGGAGTAGCAGGGCTGTCGGGCCCTGGGGCTGGGCCCCTGGACTTGTCCCTGAAAAATAATAAAGTAGCTGATACCTCAGGACTTCCTTGGTCTCTTGCTTTTCTCTTGTGGAATGAGGTTACTGGGGGCGGAAGGGGTGTTGGAAAGCCCACGGGAAGAAACCCAAACTCTGTTGTCCCCCACCCCCCACCGCGCACGAACCTTCAGCACTGACCACTTGTCTGGTTTCCTCCACGCGTTCCACCCAAACTACTTGCAACTCTTCTAGCCTGGGCCCTGAGTCACTGGTTCTAGGACTTAAGCATTCTAAAAAGTCCCTGAAACTATAGCTGATGATCCGCCTACTTGTCCCCAAATGGGTGACATGGGAACAGAGTAATGTAAGGAAAACTTCTACTGTTCTCTAAGCTACGTGTTTATTTCCTGCGAAATACCTTAGATGTGACCCTTCGGAAATGAGGGCGATAAGTGGGTAGAAGTGTGTATGTGTGTGTGTGTCTCAGACAGACACACTGGCTTTATACGTGGTGTGACTGTAGGTAGAGGTTTAGAGTCCCACATTGATTAGCACTAACAATAGCCCCTGGTCTCATACTTGAAATGTCTCCTTAGGGATTTTGGAAGCTTTCCTTCTCTCTTGATTCCCAATCTCCCAACTCAGATAATAAAGGAATGGGCAGATAGACCAATACAGTAATAAAACTCAGCTCAAAGAACAGGGTACAGGTGATGCCCTGTGGGGCGAATGCTCTGGTGATCAATGAATTGTCTAAAACAACCTCCCTGTCGTCATTACTTTGGATTTTCCAAGGCCTGGTAAATGGGGAAGCCAGAACCCAGCCTTGGAGCTGTTTCCGTGCTGTGTCTTGGGAGGATTTCTGGTATCCCCACCTGGGTGAGGGGGCGGTGGTGTTGGTGATGGAGGAGGAGGTATGAAGGTGTCACCAGAGTCTCTAAACCAGGGTTCTTAACTTGGTCTGTTATGCGTCTCGAAAATGGTGTTCAAGTTGAATGCATCATTGTGTGTGTCCATAAGCACATTCCTCTGTGGCTTTCATAAGGTTCTCAAGAGTCCAAAGGCCCCCTAACAGGTTAACACATGCGTGCTGCGGCCGGGTTTTAGCAATGATGGTGCAGTGCTTCCATTAGAGTTGTTGTTTTGTGGATGGTTGGACTCTTCGGGGACCTGTGCTGCTAAGGGCCAATCAGTTTCTCTCCTGCTGTCCCCCCCCCCTCCCCATCTCTGCTGCTCTGCAAAGCTGGGGGGTGGTGCACTGTGCCTGGAAGTGGAGGCTGGCTTGGCATCCCAGTGTGTGCAGGAGGCACTGAGCCTCTGCATAAGCACAGCAGGGACCCTTCTGCCGTCTGTGGGACAACTTTGTGCCTGTGACCCCAGGAGCCGGGGCTGAAGAGGAACCCACTCTGTGGGGTGTGGTGTGGTGGGGGAGGGGTTCTTTGGAGAAGCCAGAAGTGCTTGGTGCCCAAGGGGAGAAGAGGAGGGGCTGACTCCTGCAGGATTTCAAGAGGAGCAAGCCCCTCCCTTACCCAACAAATACCACTCAGATTAACTGGCTTTCAGCAGAGATTACTCACTCCAGATCCCTGGGCTTTTTGCTTGTAGTAGACTTTAACCACATAAAAATGCAGATGAGCAGGGAATGGTAACAGCTTACACCTTTATTCACCAGCCAAGGCTTTAATTACCAGCCAGTTTTATTATCAGCTAACATATTAGTGAAAATGGTTGGCAGCCAGGGGAGAATTAAGATTAGGACCTAAAATGGGATAGAGGTTGTCTAGTCATCAAACATGGAGATGGGCTCCTGCTAGGCAAATGAGAAGGCTCAGGGACAAAGCTGCTTCATTCTCGGTTCCCCTGAAGGCTAGCCTATCCATCACCCCACAAAGTGCTTCCAGTAAGTCAGGAGTGTGGACAGACCCTCTGCATTGTGGAAGCAGAGACGATGCAGGTCTGAAGGTCACCTTAAAGGTGAGCTGCTGGCCCAAGTGGCCCAGGCAAAAAACGACGAGAAAGATACCTCCCAGGCCTCACTCAGCCTTTAGGGACTAATAATGGGAGATTACACAGAGGACAGAGCAACCGTCAGTTATCCACATGGGCGGTGGTGACGGTGGTGCGTATGCATGTGTGTGTCTGGGTGGGTGTGGGGCAACATACCCCCAGTGCCTTTGATTGCCCTTGAAAATGCTCTGTTGGGTTTGCTGTTAATGGATCCTTTGCCTTTCGTTTAAAGTCCAAGGAATCTGGGGCTCTGAGCTTGCTCAGAGGGACCATGGGGAAGGTGGCCCAGAATGTCCCTTGGACTTCACCCTAAGTGATGGGCATGGGTTGTGAAGAATTGCATTGACTTTGAGCTATCAACAGTTGATGCCCGAGCTCACGGATGGGCAGGGGAGGAGGCCCCACCGGCACTGGCTTCCTGGAGAAAGACGTGGAGGCAAGAGGGGTGTCACCTCCTGGAATGTCCATGGAGGAGGCAGCCTTGGAGATTGCGATTTACAAACAAGACTGTGCCCATTACAGGAAGCACTGGGCAGAGTCAGACACGGCTTTGTAGCCCAGAACAAGGTGCCTTGGTTTCCTCTTTCCCCAGCTACAAAAGAAGAACAAGGCGGGGGGAAGTTGACAAATAAGCAATTCAGCAGGAAACCTCATGTAACATTTGAGCCCACAGAGGGGAGCTTGGCTCACCAATTGAGGCAGATCCGGCCACTGAGATTTCCGGGGCCAGTAAGGATGACCTGTCTGAAATTCAATTCTCCACCTGGGTTCTCCACCCAAGCCTGCTGACTTCAGCCAGGTTCCTCACGGTTGTGACAAAAATCCTAAAGGACATGGAGAGGACCTGGAATTAAGTAATTGGTGTCTAGCTGCTGAACAAAAGAGCTTATTCCAATGGAGAAGACTTCCTGGGGGAATTCAGCCTAAATACAAATGGGCTGACGAAGGGAGGGAAAGCCATCAACACTTACTGGGCTCCAGTTGGGTGTTAGTGTGAAAGGAAAAAAAAAAATCATCTCAAACCTGGAAAAAGGCAAAATGGTGATTGCTTAACTCTTTGACCTCATGCTAGAGTCTGTCTGAATAGAAGGAAGTCATTGCTGCTCGTAATTATCTTGTTATCTGACACTTTGGGGAAAATCTTCCATCATTGGCACACTCTATTTGATGAGCAAGTCTCAATGGATAAAGTCAGTTTACATCTGTTTGATGGGGTAATATGATTGTGTAGCCTGGTAGAGGTGTTAAAAAACTCCTAGCTGTTAGGGTTTTTATCACCCTGATGAAAGTTAAAAGAGTCTTGTATCTAACTTAAGGGTCTTACTTAGGCGTCCCTTTCCTGCCTGTTTTTATATATTCTCACATATTCTTCCAACCAGATTTAAAAATATAGATTTATTGATTCTCTCATTAAGGAATTAAAACACAAATTTTGACTTGGGCCCACTGTATTTGTTGACACCTTTGCTTCTCAGCACCAGGCTTTGTGATAGTTTATCTTATTTATTTCTCATAACAATACTATGAGAGGGGTAATTACTACTTCTGTTTTGTAGAGGAGGAGATTCAGAGAGGTTAAGAACCTGGATAAAATTTACTAATCTGACAAGTGGCAGAGTGGGGATTAGGTCTCCAGCTGTCGCCAGGTGAGAGCCCCATGAAAGCCCTCTCTTCTAGTGTCCTTCCATCTGTGTGTGCCCAAAGCCGCCCTTCCTCTGCTGGCCCCTCTGGCCTCTTGGTCCTCACCCCTTGCCGGGTCCCTGCCATCCAGAGGTATGGAACAAGGCACAGAAGATGCCACCATGGACTTCTCTACTGGGTCCTCTTCTTCTGGGAACCACCGGGTGTGCCTCAGAGCCCGAACTTCTGGGTGTGTTCCTGGTGTGAGCAATCCTCCAGATACTAGAACAAGAAGATTGGCATTTTGATTTCCCTAAGCTCTTTTCATTTTCCCCCTAAGCTCTTAGGTTTTGTTCCAGTAACAATGCCCCCTCTGGGAAGGTTGGGGAGCCTTTCTTCCAGCCTCAGGAGCTGTAGAATTTCCATGTGAACCATTCTCTCAGTTTCCAAAGTCAAGGTCTGAACTAGCTGCTAAGGTCAGGGCACAGATCTTTAGCGACTCTTTCAGGTGGTCGGCACCCACCCCTCTTTCAGTGGACAGGAGCCTCCTTCTCTTCCTGCTGACTAAGCCTCATTCACAGCAGAAAGCGTGGCGCTGTCCTGCAGCCAAAGCCCACCAAGAGGTCGTCATCGGCCTAGCCCAGCCGGGGCTGCATCCAAGCCCAGCTGGCTCAGCATCTTTCTAGAGCAAAATAGTTAACCAAAATAGGGTGCTCTGGATTTCTTTCCTGCTTTGGTCTAGACCCTTCATGATAAGATTATCAATTGAGACAGAAGCACAATGTCACACTCAGCCCCTTCTCAGGCCTTCAGAGCTTCAGACATTCCCACTGGACTGGCGTTTCTGAAGGAACTCAGAGTCCCAGCGTGCTGCCTGGGCCTCCATAGGGTCCTTGCCGCGTTCTCAAATGAGGTCTCTCCCTCTCTCTCTCTTTTTCCTCTTGCTTTGGACAAGAGCCTTCTCCTGCCCTTCTGGAATTAGCCTCAGTGATTCCAGTGACGCTGGAAGCCCTGACGTGGAGCCCTCTGTGATGGGCGGCCCCGCCATGGCCCGGCCTGGTCGAGCGTGGGTTCTGGAGCTTTTCCAGTAGCTTCCAGGATCAAGCAGCCCTGGTTGTCTTCCCAAGATTCTTGGAAATCCCATGAGGGCCACATAACTCTTCGTAGTTCTGAGCACACATTGCATGGCCTCTGCTTCTCCCCGCGGTTCTTCCTTACATGAAGCCCATAGGGATCCTGGTGAGGGGAGTGGGGGGGCTGTCATAACCTCTTCAACCCTCCCTTCTCTGGTGTCTGTCACTTTTACAATTTTCAGCCTGCTCCCCTGAGGCTGTAATGTCAACTGTGGTCAAACCACACTCCCTCCTGGCACCTCCCTGGCCCCATCACCCACCCCGAGGGTTGGCTCAGAGCCACAAGGTGGCCTAACTATCAACAC